CCAGCTTGAGATGGATTTTCCAGCATGGTAAAGAATCGCATTTGTCTTATATGCTAAGCATAGGTCCAGTGTTAAGTTCAGATATCTTATTTGTTATCTATAGACACTTTCACGTTTATGTATTTTTATGTACAGGGTTTTATGTATTTTATAGAAATCTGTTTTTGCTTCATAGCATTATAAATAAAAAGATCTAAAATAAGAATAGTCACACATTACGAGAAATACATATGCAGTTTTGAGAAATGAGAATTATGTACGAGATCTAAAATCACAATTGTTAGAAATAAAATCACAATTACAAGAAATGGAATTGTTGTTACAAGATGGTTGCAATTATGAGAAATGTCACAATTATGATATAGTCGCAATTATGAGAAATAACATGCAACTGTCAGAAATAATGTCACAGCAGTCGCAATCAGATAGTCGCAATTATGTGAAATAATGTCATGTTTTCAGCTGCAATCATGTTGCAGTTATGAGATATAGTTGTAATTATGAGACAGTGTCGCAATTATGAGATAGTCACAGTTATGAGAGTTACAAGATACTTTAGTTGCAATTACAAGAAATGTATACACAGTTATAATAAAGTCACAATTATGAGAAATAATGTTGCAATAATGAGATACAATCATAATTACAAGAAATAATGTTGCAATTTTGAGATATAGGGCCCTGTCATACACCCGGTGCAATTTTTTATTTTTTTTTGTTAAGCGCGTTAGTAATATGCACCTATAGGCGGGTGAACAACACACATACACTCTGCTTATTACACACAAAGGGATGCACAAACATGCCAAATATTACAAATGAAAGAATTACAATGTAAAAGATTATTATTGTGCCCCGTAGATGGTCTGCTTGCACGCATTAACCTCGCGCACAAGCAGAACCTTTCCTCTCTGGAGAAGCGTTCAGTCTTTGCTCTTGCAAATTCCGCCGTGTAAATAGTGAATCCGCCATGGCACAAGCGCAACTGGCTCTTAAAGGGAATGGGAGATGAGACTCTGACTGGTTTATTGCACGTTACGCCCAAAACACACCCATTACTCATTAAGAGAATAGGTACAACCCTTTTGGTTCATGCGCCGGGCGCGCCGACCATTTTTCACATCGTTAAACTAGCAAAAGTGAATTCGGACATGCCCTATATGCACTTGCACCGTGCGCTTTAGACCATGCGCTTAGATCGTTAAAATATGGCCCAGAGTCACACTTACGAGAAATAATGTTGCAATTATGAGATATAGTCATAGTTTTAAGAAATAGTCTCAATTATGAGAAACAGTTGCAATTATGAGAGTAAAGCCACAGTTACAAGATACCGTAGTCACAATTACTAGAAAATAATTCATAGTTTTAATAGTCGCAATTTAGAGAAATATAGTAGCAAGTACAAGAAATGAAGTCACCTTCTCAAAATAGTCGCAATTACAAGAAAAAAAATCTAAAATTATGAGACATATTGTTGCAATAATGAGATAGTCGCAATGAAGCCACACTTACAAGATACTGTAGTCGCAATTACGAGAAATATAGTTTTAAATTGTAAGTTAAATTATAAGCTTAAATTATGAGAAATAAAGATGCAATTATGAGAAATGAAGTCAATTTCAAGATAGTCACAGTTACACAGTTCACAGTTAAAATTGTCACAAATTACGAGGAAGTAAATTCCCAATTCCATGAATAAAAGTCTCAATTACAAAAAATAAAGTTACAATTTATGAGATATAAAATTACAGTTACGAGAAGACAAATCGCATTTGTGAGACAAAGTCATAAGTAAGCTGGGGTCCTGATCACCCTGAAGGGGGTTATTCTGCGATAACAACCGTCTGGATGTACATTATCCCGCTTATTACATGGCTACTTGCCACATGAGTAAATAATTAGACAAGAAATATTGATTTGATTTGAAATATTTGAATGCAAAGCTTCCGTGAAGAAAGCAGTTGTTAGCAAGCGGCAAGTTCAAACTAGATGGACATTTAAGGGATACGTTGCAGTCATACCACTTATTACACAACATCTCACCACTGTCACGGTACGGGTGTTCTAAAGAACAGGCAGGATGACGATGACGACGAATCAAAGGATATTTAATAAAGAAACAACAGGAATCCAGACAGGGTAGACATCAACATTGACAGGAACATGGACATTGACATTGGCATTCACAATAACCGACAAACTAGACTACAAGAGGCAGGAACTAATATAGGGCAGATAACGAGGGGCAGACAGGTGAGCACAATAAGGAGATTAACGGATAATGAGGACAGGAACAACCAAATAAGGACACAGAGGGAGAAACCACAATCGACAGTCCACAGGGGTGTGACAGATCGCCCCCCTCCCGGAAGGCGACGGAGGGAGGAGCCATGGAGGAGGAATGTCCACCGACTCCAGGGGGCCGACCAACAGCGGCGGAGCAGGTGGAGGAGGAGCCAGAGGCGGAGAGCCAACGAGCCAACGAGCCAGGGGGATGCCGAGGATCCGCAGGCCGATGGTGAGTGGCGACCCATTTCTCGCCAGAGTCCACTCCACAAAGGCGGCAAATTCCTCCCGGGGACCATCTTCGGACGACCGCGCTCTGCACTCGGCGTTCAGACTTCCCTTATAGAAAGCGCAGAGCGCGTCATCCGGATAGCTGGTGACGTTAGCGACCATCAGGAACCGTCTGGTATGGTCCTCGAGAGTCCTGCCTTCCTGCTCCAGCAGGAGAAGGAGGAATTCGGGGCGCGTGAAGGGATCCATGGGGTCAACACAACGGAAAGAAAAACACTGAGGAAAAAAACGGAAAACAAACGAAAGGGAGAACACGGAAGTCTTTTGGGTCGGGTATTCTGTCACGGTACGGGTGTTCTAAAGAACAGGCAGGACGACGAAGATGACGAATCAAATGATATTTAATAAAGAAACAACAGGAATCCAGACAGGGTAGACATCAACATCGACAGGAACATGGACATTGACATTGGCATTCACAATAACCGACAAACTAGACTACAAGAGGCAGGAACTAATATAGGGCAGATAACGAAGGGCAGACAGGTGAGCACAATAAGGTGATTAACGAATGATTAGTACGGGCTA